GTAAATGAAAAAATTACGTATAATTAATAAATACATATAGTAAAATATATATATATATAATGTAAATGCGAATGTGATCTGCCTGTTCAACAAAGCACCAGAAATCCAATGCAGATGTTTGCGGTCGTTGTGGGATAGGGAAGATATACATCCCAAAATCCAAACATTGAGCACAAACATGCCATCAACATGACCCAGCGAAGCGCTCTGACAATTACTGGAACCCGAAATCTGCCGACCCCCGGCGGGTTTGAAAGGGCAACAACAATGACAAAAAGTCTGGGAAATACAATGTTTTCACATTTTGTCCCGCTGCTGTGGACTTGTTGAAAAAAAGGATGCCTCCCCCTTCCGCCATGGTGTGAGAAATGCCATGTCACCACAAGTCCGTGATGACAAATCACCAAACCTTGGAAAAGAATCAAACTATTGGACGCGGCCATTTTTGAACTTCCATGGTCAGTTGCTTCACTTCTCAGATTTGCTGGCTGCATCCCCGATCATATTAGTACCTATGAAAACAGTGGTGTTATGCATTATCACGATGCGAAAATACTGGTGGTTCCGCTTGTCCCCACAAGCACGCCATAAGCACGTTTTGGGCATTCGGTTTTTCATTGGACCGTTTGGAGAATGGTCAGACTGGCCAAGCAAATGGCAAAGCCTCTGCTGTAATCATTTGATAGATCATTCTCATAGATAGGATAATTACATAACAAAGAACCATACCCTCTGGTAATTTAACATAGCTATTGAAAATGGCCATTTATAGTGGATTTACCCATTAAACATGGTGATTTTCCATAGTTATGTTAGTCTACCAGAGGGTAGTCATAATGAGTTCTCTTTTCTCACGCCCAGGAAACGCCCTGAATCTGGCACAGGAGGGAGCCTTTTTTTCAAAGGCGCTTGGGCCGAATCAGGTTTCACCTGAGATCCAGCTAGCCGCAGGGTGCCATGCGTTGAACATGGGGGAGACAATTCCAATTTGTCCATCTTTCATGGGGGAAATGATGACGATAATGACGACGACGACGACGACGATGATCATGGTGATGATGATGATGATGATGATGACGACGACGACGAGGAGGATGATGGTGATGATGATGATGATGATGATGATGATGATGATGGTAATGATGGTGATGGTGATGATGATGATGATGATGATGATGATGATGATGATGATGATGATGATGATGATGATGATGATGATGATGATGGCGATGATGGCGATGATGATGATGATGATGATGATGATGATGATGGTGATGATGGTGATGGTGATGATGATGATGATGGTGATGATGATGATGAGGATGACGATGACGATGACGATGAAGATGATGACGATGAGGATGATGATGATGATGATGATGATGGTGGTGGTGATGATGATGATGATGATGCTGGTGGTGGTGGTGGTGGTGGTGGTGGTGGTGACGATGACGATGACGATGACGATGACGATGACAATGACGATGACAATGACAATGACAATGACGATGACGATATATCAAACTTTGGGGAATCACCATTTCCACACAAAGCCATATCCAGCTGATTTTCCATGACCGGGTGTCATTTCGAGATTTGATACACCTGAGAATGTTCTGTTTGCCCAGTGGAACCCACTGCGTTGCTAGACTGAGTGCCAAAGTTGTGAGTTGCTCAGGGAAAAACATCTGCTCCTTTTCAATGATTTCAGAAACAAGATTTACTGACCAACATTTTCTGTAGGCACTAGACGGACTTGATCAAAGTAATGCTGTCTTGATTTTAAAAAAAAATACAAACACCTCAATGATTTCCTGCATCTCTCAGTCAACCTCCTTGTTCACCTCCACAAAATGAGAAGGGACGCACAATCAAATCATGATCAATTCGCAGTGGGTAAACACTTCCAGCAATTCTTGGGGACCCTCAAAAACACCATTCCAAACTCCAGCAGATGTCATCTGATGTCCAGCCTCGGTGCGTCCATTGCAGGTGCACAGTTTCCTTGAGCCGTGCGACTTAGAAGACTTGTGGGCTGTGGAAGTGGTGAAACAACAAAACAATGGGGCATACAGTTGGTTATATCAGTACAAGGAAAGTTTTCATGACTTAAGATTCTACGTGAACCAACTAACATGGTGTCCAATGGGTACATAAACCTAAGCAATTCGTTTGAAACTTATAGAGGGGACCCTTTTGGCACTGGTGACATGCTTGCACAACTCCACAACCGGTGCTTTCTCAAATTGACCCTTGAAATTCCCATGGGTGGTGAAAAGGGCTGCGCTTCCTAGCAAATTTCCGCTTTGATCAACAGCAGTCAAACACCAAACAATGGGCCCATGGTCAACCTGACACACGTGGCTACACCAGAATGAATGAACAGTTGCTCAATGCCTGATGAAAGTGTGTTCGGCTGGCCATATCCAAACTTCTCAGGCCCCAATGGCCAACCTGGAGGATTCCTTGCGATGCTGAGTGGAAATTCCATGTGCCACGAAACCAAGCCTTCTTTCTGGGTGTTCCCCCTCTCAAATGTATCAAAGAAAATTCTGAGTGGTCAAAATACACATGCTCTTTTTGGTTGAAGCTATGAAGTGTCAGTTCATACCCCCAGTCAAAACATGGGATATCTTGTTTGGTCATCCCACCAACCGTCGGAGTTTAAAAGTAAATGCCATGCTTTATACAATACCTATCAAAAGTTGACTTTGACCATTCCAAAGATATATTTATATGCAAGTATAAGTCTAGGTGGTTATCTTGTCAATCCTCAATCTAACCCTTATTTTCATGCTGGGCCATTTGTTTGCATCACCTTGGTTGAACCCCTCAAGGCACCCTGACGACCTTGGGATGTCAGAAGCGTACGGACCTGTGGAGCAAGTCATTGGGATACCGGGATACCTGTTTTCATTCCCAAAGATAACCACATGTCACATATGACATAGAAGATCTAAGCATCCTATGTTGTGAGGGGGTGATTATCTACCATTCAAAAATTTACAGAGATCATATCACCCACACTTGTAGATCATGATTGACCTATGCTTTCCATCATTTAAACTGGTTTATTCAAGGCAGAAACTTCTATGTTTCTTTTGGTTCAATCATCAGCTGTTGATTTTGCATGTTTTTGCTACATCAATCCCAACTTCCACTTGATCCTTCCACTTGGCCCCAGACAGCATCCGGACCTCCAGAACGTCTTCCACATTGCCGGGCACGGTGTCCGGTGTGGCCGGCTTCTGCTCCAACGCCGGCACAGCAGGTGCTGGAGGATCTGCAAGCTCTGAAACCTACCGTGTTCAGAAGGAAGTCTGGGGATGATCGGATGTCTGGGGATGAAATAGGTTGGTATGGGTCAACATTATCCACCACAAATGGATGGGTGAATACTAATACTAATATGGAAGAATTCTGCAGACTAATTGATATCCAAATTGTCGCCCATAGCTTAGCCAGGTGGGACATTTGTTTGAGATTTTCACTCAGACAACACTTCCATCTGGGCAAAATATATACTGACAATGACATCGGGTGTCCATCGAACCTGATGGAATCATCATGGTTATGTTTCAGCTTAAATGAGCCAGAACTGGGTACTTGAAATTCACGTCGATGTATACTATTTCCCCTTATGTTTAAAAAAAAAAACTTGGCAAATTCAGCTCAAGTCCAAAACCACACATGACCAGCTGACCCCTACCCTCATGGAAAGAAATGGTTTCTTTCAATGCGGATGATCTTAAGTGATCGTGCCAGTTGTGGAGCATGTTTGGTCTATACAACCATCCAATTTGGGTCCCCATCGAGTTCCATTTTGGGTACCTGACTCGGCCATGAAAAGTCTGGAGTGGAAAAAGAAAACGGCACTCCGATTGCAATTGCTCACTGACAGAGGGGTGTGGTTTGCCAACAGACGTTGGGTTTTAATGATGTGACCAACGAACATGGTGGTTCCAAGAGCAAACGGGCAACAATTTGGGTTTCACCCACCAGCAAAATGAGGAGTTCACACACACAATCGCGATGATTTAGGGAAATTCAACAAAGAAAATGTGGTATTTAACCACACATGATGGATTGATAGACCGGAAACCCATGAATTCATGCAGTTTCTGCAAAAGAAGTCTGGGTCCACATTCATCGCCACTGGTTCCTATCTGGACGATCATCAGAGTACGGTCTTTGGGACCACACTTGGGGTGAAACAGTGTGACTCACAGGAAGGCATGTAAACTTCAGTCCGTGTTTATCCCAGATGTGCGAGATTTGGAACTGTAAACCACTGGGACTGAAGTGAGAATGCCACACCCTAGGTCCGTAGATAGGTGGAGGCAAAACGTCAAGCGCACTGGGATTTTAATGAGCATTAGTTTTTTTCCTAAGAGTTGCTCGTGCCCTCGAACCACCAGGGTGATCCAAAATGCACTCATATCACATTCGCAGTGCCACATTCAATGGGTGGTGCCACCATATTCCAAAAGAAATTGGGTTGATGCCGGAGACATGAATCCCCCTGCACCCGCGATGGTCTTTGCACCCCTGCAGTGCGGAGTTCTGTTGGGATATCGGAGTTTGAAACGGCAAAAGTGGGTCATATGTACCCAGCATCGGTACCCCATGTGAAAAAACATTATCATTAACCAAATTATATAGTTGGGTGGTTAATTGGTATGAATGGCAAACTTGATAAACCACAAGGTTTTTGGGCTTGGCCCCCTAGAAATTGTTGAAAATGTCCAGATTTCTCGATGCTTGACATCAATGTAAAACAGGTGACCTGACCTGTTTTGGGGTATCAGATGGTATCGGCCTCGTTGCAAGTCGTTGGTCTTCAGAACGATGAAAGGCCATCTAACTTGGTTTTTGTCACAGAAAGTGACTTTTGACTATTTCAGATGGCATGGCTCCCAATGGGCTGTTCCAAATACTTCTGCACAAGCATCAGCCGGAGCCCCACCTGAGTTGAGATCCTTGTCGAGCTGAGGATGCGATCATCGTCCTGGAAATATGGGCCAGAGGGTTCTGAATCTGAAGGGGATTCCCTTCCATCCCCATCCTGGCAGAAAATGCACCAGTTCTGACAAAGCCTTGACAAAGCCTTGACCTAAGGATGGAGTCCAAGAATAGATTCGCCATGCCTGTTGAAACAGTTGAGACATAAACCTATCCTTGAAGACAGACCATGTTGTTCTATGTTTGGAGTTTAGAGCCTCAAAGTTTGAGAGATTCCCAACTATCTCATTTTTTCATGATGATTGTCAGTTATATATTGGCGGCATAGCTTGACCAATGATCACCATGTTTGGATAGCTAAGCCGGTTGCATCACCAGCTCCCCATCTCCTGGATGTTTCTTTGCCAGTTCGGCCAACTTGGCTTCACCTCAGCCGGCTTGCGGAACTTACCAGAGCGATCCAGAGGGCATCCAGGTATCCACTTATCCACTTGTCCAATGTTCAATGATCCCTCATTTATTTACTTATATATATATATATGATATATATACAATGGAGCGGAAATTGCTTTCCCAACCTGAAGGGTCCTCTCCACCATGACCCGTTGACAGAACCCCACCATGCATGATTCTCATGGACCAGTCCCAAAACAAGCACCACAATAAGGTTCCACCAGCATAGTGGTGATGCTATCATTCCCGTTCCTTCGGGTTTCCATCCCAGATAGCAAGCAACTAAAACCAGGTGAATCCAGGTTGTTGCTTAAATTCCTCCTGTGAATCACCCACTTCCATTCTTTGTTGCGCCAGATTTCTTGCGGAAAAGACTGAGCTTTCTTGCTGAAATCATGATGATCCTCAAAATTTCACTCAATCCCCAAGTTTTCCATCAGTTTCAACTTCAATCTCCAGTTTTCCATAGTTTTCCATCAGTTCACCATCTGCCAACCCCCTTTTTTTCTGTGGCCTTCGCTGGGAGACCCCACTGGCCTTCAGCTCAGCGATTTGCCATGGCCTCAGCCATGGGGGTTGCAGCTATAAGAGGTGACTTGAAATTGGCGCACTGGTATAACTATGAGAGTTTTATGGTTTTTTAGCCTTATATTAATTATGGGAGTTAAACCTAATTGGGATTATGGGATTTTATGGGAGTCTTATAACTCTTAATTAACTAACTATGGGAAATAAAAACCTCAAGTTGGGATTTTTGAAGCCTCAGATCTATCATGATGAGGCACTAGATCTGTAGATACTGTCAGAATGATGCATAGATCAGCAAGCCTATAGATATCTGGGGATGGGTCAATACCTATTAATACTATTTTTAGGGGGATGAACATCCATTTACCAGCTATTTTGGGGTTCACTAGGTACCAGGGTTTTGACCCATCCCCATCTATCATCATAATGATATGTGGGGTACCCATGTTTTTTGGACAAACCAAGAATTCTTCCTACGAATGATGAAGAGTATTTGGGATTGACTGAGATAAGAGGGATATTTCAACGGGATTGTCAATATCACCACCCAAAATGGGTGAGGCCACCGATGTGAATTGGCTTTCGTAGGAAGCATGGGGCATGGGGCCGTGGCCAGTTATGTAGGTGGCCCCTGAGAGATGCTGCTTGCAAAACGGTCAACGAGGGGTCAACAGGTGTTCAGTGTTTTTCATGTGAAACCATCATCCAATTTTCAATTGAAAACTCAAAAATTTATGTTTCAAGATGTTTCAGGCGCCAATCCTCCAATTCCCATCTGTTGAATTTTTGCAGGTGGCCCATCATAGCTGAGTGGCCCAATGCCCGCAGCTTCGAGGCGACTGAGGAGCTGGCCCACCTGATGCACAGATGGAGGGAGATCCTCTGAACATGGTCCATTTATAGATGATTTACTTGTTCAAAAATGTTGACTTTACATACCTATCATATCCTATCATTATCTATCATCTATAGTTATCATGTAATCATCATTGAATTGTAATTATCATGTAAGTAGGGATACCAAACATGGAGGGGGACCCAGATACCCTTAACAAATCATCCAAAATGGCATTGCCAAAAATTGGGAACTTGTCAATGTCAACTGAAAATCTTCAGATCCTTGGCCATGTCTGATTCCCAAAAAGATCGAGTACCATCAAAAAAAAAGATTGGAAAATCCACTAGTTGTAGATTGTTTTCCCAAGGAAGCCATGGGTTTTCATGCGTTTTCATGGGTTTTCCACATCGTTTTGTAGGTTTACCCTAGAGTACTCCTATTTGATCCCTGATTTGCCAAGCATCAGCCCCACCTCAGAGGTCTCTGTCGGCTCGCCACTGGCATCAAGATCGGAACCTCGCGGTCGGAAAGTCAGAAAGTCACCTGGAAGGGGGTCTTCCTCAATTTGCAGGATTTTTTCAAGATTATCTACTGAAAAACCTCAAAAAATCTGAACAATTATCTATGCAACTGACATAGTTTATCTGTGCAACTGACTTTTTCTCATTTGAAGAAGCGTCCGGGATTTCCGCAGAAAATGCTGCGATTCCCAATACCATGTCACTCATGTCAGTATACTGTGGGGGGTCCGGTTGGTTTCTTAGGTTCCAGGAGATGGATAGCACTGCGCATGGTGTCAGAAACATGCATTCACGGGCCAGCTCTTAACGGCATCAAAAACACTAATTCAAGAAACAAATCTCACCCCTTCATGCACTTAAAATTCTGGCAAAAATTTGGATCTTTCACTTCCTTTTCCCAAAACGATCTTTTCTTTCGGAGATATGTTCATGTTTGGGGCTTCCCAGGTATCCCTTTGTGGGGTGGACCCTGCATCTGGAGATCCCTAACTGCTGCTGGAGCTTGGTCGCGCTCGGCGCTCACTTCCGGAGTCGCAGGCGCGGGGCGCGTGATCTGGTAGTGGCCTGGACAGGCTGTGAATGGATCAATGGCAGAGGAGATCGGATTTGCTGCTGCGGTCTGTGCAATGTTGCAAAAATTTGTCTTTTGCTTACCATGTAACAATGCAAAAATCAGGGATTCTATCTCTGTATATTCCATATGGTTCAAGAAATTAGTGGAAAAGGTGATCCTATCTGCTGATGCTGTTTTATAATGTGTTGTATACTTTCCAATTTCCTGTCTCGCTCGTTCGGGGCCCTCTATACCCCTGCTGTTTTACATGGGGCTCCATGGCGCAAAAAAAAAAAGGTGGGCAAGGAGTCCAGTGTGGGAGATGGAAGCCGAGTTTGTTGCTTGTGAAATCATGGGACGAAAAGTACATTACCTCTAACAACTATGAAACTGGACGTTTATCCTTCAAGGAAATAGGTGTTCATCTTTCTCGTGATCATCTTCTCCTCAAGAATTATCAGATATTCAGACTATTCATCCAAATTCGGGAACCAGTGGCTTTTTTAGCCGGTTCTATGACTGTCCAACAATTCCAACAAATTGATACACAAACAAAGAAGGACATCACGGGAACTTGACTACATCGCAAGAAAATCCTCCAGGTATCCCCCATTCAAAGAACAACTTACTGGTGCTAAACGTAGGGAATGGATGGGTTGCTGGGGGGTGCTGGGATGATTATATATATATATTATATATTATATATATTATATATATTATATATATATATTATATATATATTATATTATATATATATAATATATATATATATATATTATATTATATATTATATATTATATATTATATATTATATATATATATGATATACTACTAGTGATTATGGATCATTCCCTCATTCCCTGCTAAGCACCACCCGGCCCCGCTGAGCCCAGCCACTGGCCGCAGCGCTCGCAACGACGCCGCACCGAGCTGGGCGATGCCCAGTCGGCCCAGTGCCCCGCGCTAGAAAGAGGCCGTTGGTCAACACCTGCGGAATGACCAGGAAAGAATAAACCTGATAAAAACAAAAATGAAAGAACATTAGAGGTTGCAAATTTCAGAAAAACAAATTAGAGATTGCAGATTTATAATATGTCTTGAAACCATTAAGTATAATATATCTATAAACCAAAACCCTCCAGGCAACTCTCTGGAAAACAATGAATATCCAATATATATATATATATTCATCCCGATTCAACCTAATGACATCAGAGAACTCCAGCTCAAACCCCAATTCCTGCTAATCCTCTGATAATTCAACAAATGGAAAATCCACCATGTATAGATGATTTTCCAATTAAAATGGCCGTTTATGGGAAAATTCCCAGCCAGCAATGCTAACGTTGAACACATCACTCGGGGCGCTGCCTGAAGGCATGCGTTCCTCCGGCGGATCTTGTCTTCGTCCACCTGATAGTGGCTTTCGCACCGGGAAAATTTCACGAGCAGATGGAATTCCACTTGAAAAAATGCGGCTTTGACCAGCAGAAACTTAGATTTAATCAGTAAAAACAAGGAATGTGATCTGCTGCTGTTTCTTGATCCAATACACGCCCCTGGTGCCTGCGGCGCTGGGCAATCTGCTGGGCGCATCGCACTGAGTCGTGTCACTGGGGGGTCCTGGCTATAAATGGGGTTCAAACCAGCTGTAGGGACCCAGCATTGCACTATTGAACCTATTGAGTTCGCGCTGTAATGATAACTATGATCCTTAAGAAAGCAATTTTATTATATATATATAGTTGGCGAACCCCACGGACTATACAAATAGACATGGGTCACGCCATTGGGAAGCACAACAGTTGGATGTTTTGACCTCCAAACACAGACATGAGAACACCTCTGGGGATGCGAACAACTGAATCACCAAAGAACTGGACAGAATATGCTGCATGTTAGGGGGCAAAAACACCGGACCCAACCACGTAGCTTGGGAGGTCTTGGAGGTCTTCAATCCAACCTTATCACCAACAATCCCGTGGCCACAAAAAATAATCCCTTTCGTGTCTTGTACAAGTACGAGTAGTTTGTGATGTTCAGGACCAATACGCGGTGCCAAATAATTACAAACAATTTAGTTTGCAGTATTAGCCAACAAAGTGTGGGCCAAAACAGACTAACATTGTGCGATAGTAGCCAATG